TTTAAGCAACGAACATGAAGATATTTGATGAGATTTAATGGGAATATGATGGGATATACATGTATGTATCAACAAGGTTGTGCCCCAGTTTGTGCTAACGCTAAGTTGGTGAACTCCAATTACACTGGGGTTTATGATAGATATTTCGAGCTACTTAACGGGAGTTGTAAACCAACAAAACATCACGGGGGGTTAACAGCACCTGGTGAAATTTGGATGTAACAGGGATTTTCTTCGCAACGAAAATGGAGATTTAACCAACAATTGGACTTGTGTACCCATCAATTATAGTGATTTTTATGGGAACATATGGTGGTTTCCTAAAATGGGGTACCCCTAAATCATCCATTTAGATACGGATTTTCCATTAACCATCTATTTTGGGGTACCATAATTTATGGAAACCCCCATATGGACTTAACTTAATCTAGAAGAAACCTTATTGTTTGGGTGTCAAATGTGTCAATATGGGGTTTATTGCGATAAACATATGGATTTAACATACATAAATAAATAGATGTGAAAAGCCAATCATGTTGGTTTAGCATCATTTTTCACACTGAGGTTACTATTTGGGCATATATTCAATTTTCAAACAGAAGCAAAAAAACATATGTAATGTTGACATTAAATACACACCCAGAAATGAAACCTTGGTTCAGTATTGCATCTTTTCATGCATTCAATGGGAATTTCAAAATCCTAAAATAGAGGTACTGTACCATATAAGACCATATTTTCTGGGAATATTCCCTTACATAGTCCTGAAAAAGTAGGCCTTATATATGGAATCGGTACCTCCAATCAATGGTTCCTGGCCAGCATGGCCATTGATAAGGATGGAGGGATGATCTTATTCTCATGGGAATTTGCTGGCTAATCAGGAAAACACCCAGCAACACATTAGATCTAATCAAAATGAAGGTGAAACCAACCACAATTTAATTTGGATATGGCTGGATATAAGGGAATATATCATCAATAGCATGACACTAGGGATTGTCAAATCGAGGTTCACCATACACAAATATGTGGGGAACTGTACCCTAATGATATCACAGCATAGAAGGCTTCGCCATAGCAAATTGAGTGAATAAACATTACCCCCAAGCCATCCCATTATACAGGTTGGGTAATAGGTGTTCCCAGTCAATGGATTGTGATAATCCCTGATATCTTGGATAGTAAAACCTCACAAAACATCCGATAAATCATCTATAACCTACTCACATAGGATTAACACAAAAACTGCCTGAAAATAACCACAATTGATGGTTTAATTTTTTTCTTTGGTTATATAAGTTTTTTCGTCCACATCAAACAATCAGAGTTTAGCAGCGCTCAAGCAGAACCGGGGTTGGACTAACACTTCGATGTGGTTTTCGGCACGGTCAAAAAAATTCCATGGCTTTTTCGATCATTTTCAGAGAGAAACCATAGAGAGAGATCTTCCACAGAAAGAACTCTTCGATAAAACCCTGTTTTTTTTTCCATGAAGATTCAATGGAACAACCATATTAGTCAATTGGGATGATTATCCCATATATTATGGAAAATAAAAAATGTTCCAAACCACCAACCAGTTTTTTTCCATGAAGCATCTCACTAATAATCCAGATTAAGATTCAAATTATGATCCATTAGATCTCATATAATCCATGAAATGCCTAGGGTGTTCCATTAAATCTCATCTGGTTGGTGGTATACCAACCCCTCTGAAAAATCATGGAGTTCGTCACTTGGGATTATGAATTTCCCAATATATGGAGAGTCATAAAAATTCATGGTTCCAAACCACCAACCTATATCATATCTATAGATTTAAATGGTATATAATCAACTTTAATCAACCAGAAATGGCTCTTTATTGGGGATATGATGGGGATGTAGAGGGATATTGCACTCTGGTAAACTAACATAGCTATTGAAAATGGCCATTTATAGTGAGTTTTCCCATTAACAATGGTCATTTTCCATAGTTATGTTAGTTTACCAGAGGGTACCCTAAATTTTAGTGTCCAACCAAACATGGCCAGCTGGACCAGCTGGGTGTTGCATGACCATGATTCCAGGGCGGAGAACAGGTTTCGGTCGTGATGAAATTGACCCAGATAAATAGAGGTTTCTAGCTTTGAAAATCAAGTATACCCTCTGGAAAATGGCCCATTTATAGATGGTTTACCTATTAAAAATGGTTTACCCAGATGTTTTATATGTTGACCCTAGGGCAGGGTAACCATTGAGGTTCCACGACCTTCGCTGCACTGATCCCGATCCCTCGCCTCTGGGGCTGCATCAGGTAGAGGCCTCGTTTCGATGAACAAAATTCGCTGTTGAGACTATGAAACATGGCTTTCAACGGGAAAATCATCTATAAATATGGATAAATAATGATAAATATTGATAAATATCATGAAACATATTGGGATATTGTTGAAACATGTTGAAAAACATGATGCTGACCATAGGGTAAACTAACATAGATTTAAGGGAAGTCATGGCCCATTTATGGATAAAACGGTGATGGTCCACATCTCATGTTACTTTGCCTCAGGATACACGCTATATTTTAAGACTTTGCCATGGAAGATCCCATCTATAAAAGAGGCAGCAAATCATCTATAAATGGGCCATGCCTCAGCCATTTTCCGCGTATGTTCAGCGCGAAACCGCGCAACCTCCAACAGTTCTAATTGGAGCCACGGTCTACGGAACATGATCTACAAATCGTGGATTTTTCTTTTAATCTATGCATACAGAGGAGAGATGAGGAGAGTATATTAATAAATGTTTACTCCCAAGAATTCGGCGCGTCAAGGCCAGAAGAGCCTTTTCTCGTATGGATCAACATGCCATTGCGTTGCGTAAGGGGTCCCCCCAAAATCCTCTACATTCCATCCTGGTGGTATTTCCGCATTAAGATTTGATAAGTTCACGACTCAAAAATATGACCCATCCATTTCTGCTCCCAACCTGGCCGTGACCCAACTGGGCTTCTTGGCGTGTGCGGATACCATCCGATGGCCAGCATTTTTTTTTCGGCTTGCGCTGGGAATCAAACACAACATGTCATGGATTTTTTTGATCCCCTGAGCATGTTTGTAGTTTGGCTGCATGACAAATGTATATATTCATTCATATCATTTCATATTCTTCTTCATGTACATGTATCAATGTATCACACCTATGCATGTGCACATAGCATGGCTTGTTCAATGATCTCAGTCATACAGGTTTGTCCAAAAAAATCGGGGAACACCTTTTCAAAGCTGCAAATCCACGGGTTCAGAAACTACTTCTCCGCATTTTTCCTTGGCAAAATTGATGGATGTTTTGGATAAATACGGAGAAATATGATAAATTTATGATAAATCATCTATCTCTGCATCAGCCTTCTCATTGGTCAAATTCTGTTCATATCTGTCAGTCATATTCCTTTACAAAATCATTGGTCCAATTGCCATGTTTCTTGACCGTGCTTCAATGACTCGGAAGCACGACCCATGGAAGCTGCGGAGCCTGGAAATGGAGTGTTTCCAAGAGTTTTTCACGAAAATGGGTGACACTTTCAGTCAATGGGAATTTCAGGATCCTAAAATGGAGGTACCTACCATATATATAAGGCCTATTTTTCAGGCCTATGCAAGTGAATATCACCACAAAATATGACCAGACATATGGTACTAACGTACCTCCATCAATTGGATCCTGAAGATCTCCCATTGATTCAGGGTTTTTCACGCTTGATTTCGCCGAGACATGCCGAGCAAAAAAACAACCAAACTCAAGGCCAGTGTCAATCACGGGAGCCCATGGATTTCCCATGGATTTCCATATGAATTTCCGTGTCAATCAGTTTTTCGTTCTAAAAAATAGCCAGTTTGGTTCTGGAAAGTTTGGTTCTGGCTTTATTATGCTTTATTCCTATAAAAAAAATGTTTACTGTTCGGCATCATTTTCTTAGTTGGATTTTAAAACATGCCATCATTAATCGGCATATGATGGCATATGCTTGGTTGTATATGTAATCACATTGAATCCCATTTTAATCCCATGTATTCTAACAAACAGCTCCCGTTTTCGGAAAAGATCCAGATCCCGATCGGCCCGGGCTCGGGACTTGGTCAAAACCCTGGTACCCTACGCGAAAATAGCTGGTATAGCTGGATGGTGATTCCCCCCCCGTCATATGGTAATTTCATTTGGTAACAAACGACTCATCACCATATATATATTTATATATATATATATGTAATATATATATATATATATAATCAACATATATCAACATGGGAATTTTTGATAGCATAGTCATAGGAATAGAATGGGAATACATGGCTAAATGCTGGTACTTGGGGGGTGCAGGCCGGTGAACAAGCCATGGGATTTGGATGGATTTTGCTTTAGCCCTGTTAGGAAAACTATCCCCTACAGGATGGTGCCCCCCAGTGATGTGAATGTTGGTTTATGAACCCCATTAACTATAGTTATAAGTATAATAAACCATAGATATTGGAGTTAGAAACCATAGTTGAACTATAGTTATGAGTTGGTTTATGAACCCCATTAACTAGTTCGTTATATCTACCATAAACCATAGAATTCAGCCACAGCCATCTCTGAACTGGAACTGCACCAAAGATTTGATGGAGCTTTTTGTTGGGATTTATGGGGCTTCATCATGGTTCCTCCCCACGGCAAAAAAAATGGTACGATAGGTGATCCTGAACCCCAGTTCAATGAAATAATGCTTCAGTTTGATGGAAGAGCATTCAAATTTATCATTTTATACCATTACCATACCATTCTGATCATGTCATCTTGAATTTCTCAAGGAACCCTACAGAAATAAAACATATTCCCAACAAAGATTCCCTACTCATAGTGGATTTCCGATTGGGAAAATAACAAATCATCAGCAAATCCAAGTCATACCATTCGCATACCATTCGCATTTTGTTTCCAAATGGCACAGAACACCGACTGAGCGATCTTCGGATCTAAGCCCCTGCTTCAGCTCGTGCCTTGCGGCGAAGACTGCTACTTTAAAGAGATGTCAATGCAAATCATAGAACTAAGCGGGCCGTTCTCCAGAGCTATATTCAGAATTACTGGAGTGTAAGAATTATTGTGGGTCACCGTGAAGTTGACTCAGAATTCTGCCCGAATCCTGCCCGAATTGCAGATGTAAAACTTGGGACTTTCAAACCTCTCAAATCTCCATGGCCGCCCGCAGGGCTGTTCTGTGATCCGAAAAGCCAAATGGAAAAATGGTACGTTGGTGCATCTTGACTATAGAAGCCAACCAGTTACCATCCTTAGCCTTAGCAAAGAAAGAATCCAGACTCGAGACTCCAATTCTTGGAAACTCAAAATGAGGCTGCCTGGAAAGAAACCTATCATTAGTGGATGCTGACATTCCTCTGGTTGCTGGCGTTTCAACCCATCATACTGTTTTTTAATTACATGTTGAAAGATTCATTGGTCATAACCTCAGTTTTTCTGGCTGCATGCACCCCCAAAAATGGTGGTAACATCCTAGCAGCCTAGCAACAATGCAGCTTAAATCACCTTGTCAAATGCACTGTTTGTTGTATCTGCCACTTTTCGCGGGATCGGCTACCCTAGCGTAAACTAACATAGATGTGGTGTGGAAAATCAACCCGACTGGTCGACTATGAATTTTCCTGGGCTTTCCCCATGGGTTTTCCACATCTTTTTGGAGCAGTTTATCCCTAGGGTATTCCATGAAATCCCATAATCCACATAGATATTCAATTTCCCATATAATCCCATATAATCCCATATAGTTTCTTATGTAATCCTTAAAATCTCTATATATTAAATCACCATTTCTTGCTACATTTCTGTGAGTTTTCCTGGCCTTCCCCGCCTTTGGACGTTGAACACGTTGCGGAGCTTGCCAATATGCCTGGAAACTGCTGCACTGCAAACATGGAGACATACAGTGGATGGTTGCGAAATCACCAGTGGGTAGATGGTTTACCCTCTGGTAAACGTTTACAGTTTGCGAACTGGAAAATCCACACTTTCTGGAGATAAATTTAATGATGGTTAATGATGCTTACCCTCTGGTAATTTAACATGACGAACTGGAAAGATCCACCATTTTCAATGGGTAAATCCACTATTTCGACCGGGCCATGGCCTCAATCGCTATGTGAAAGTCATTACCAGAGGGTATCCCCTGAGCATCCCACTATTTACAGTGTTTCATAGTTGCCAATAGGAATCCCAAGTGGTGCGACGGACGGAAGGCAGCAGTATCTCCAACAAACATTGGATGTATATGGATGTATCATTTTTTCGTGAACAAAATTGCGAACTCCCCCCAACAAAAATGCACCAACTTTCTTTGATGGCGACAGAATTATTCGCTCCATTTCTGGACAGAATTATTCCTCCCGATAAAGATACCACATGAAGCACTGCCCAGACGTAAGTTCATAAAATTGAGAGTCAAAGGTTTCAACGGGTACGGGATTTTTCGATCCAGCAACCCACCAAAAAAAAATAAATATGTCCAACAAAGATTTCCCAGTTGTAGTGGATTTCCCATTGGAAAAATGCCAACGAGCGACTCAGCAAATCCACGATTATAGTTCCTATATCCCACAGTTATAGATGATTTTCCCAATCAAACCTGAATTTATAGGGTATTTTCCATTAATTACCTGGGAATTCCTATAGAATTTTCCCACAGTTAGGGTATTTTCATGTATTTCCATTAACATAAAAATCACAGCTTCATGGGAACTCCATACCCAGGTTTATGGCGTGCCAAATTGGAAGATCAACCGACGCTGGCTGAGCGTTGATACTCAACTTCGCCCAGATTTCTCCAATGTGATATCAAACACATCTCCATAAAACTTACAAAACACATAAATCAGACATAATCAGACTATGATGCAGAAAAATGCTCAATTTTCATCAATTTTCAACATATAGAATACAAACAAAATCATTCAAATACAAGGTTTATATATGTTTATATTATGGTTTTACAACATACTAACATACCTTTTTCCATAATATCCGCATAAAACTGCTCAACATCAAGCCGACTGGACGCATAAAACTGCCGCCTCCCCATAGTCGAAGCAAAGCTCTTCGTTACGCTGGATCTGCTCCACTCCCTCCTCTATGGCAAGCTCCTGGAAGCGATTTTTGTGTATAAAATATGCTATAAAGAATAAAAAAGGGGTTATTGGGATAATGAACTCTATCTATCTATCTATCTATCTATCTATATCAATCAATCTATCTATCGGTTCTGGGTGTGTGTGTGTGACCATATATATATAACAATATATATATATTTATAATATATATGTTTAAAAAGATAAATAGATAAATAAATACATAATAAAGACATAATAAATAAACAAATAAATAACTAATTAAATAAATATAATATATATATATAATGGACAATTAATTGATTCATGTCCAGTTCTTCATGATACAACCACACCAAGAATCAGGGATGGAACATACGTTTGCAAAACCTCCCGTTTTTCACACGGCTTCGAGTTGGAAGAGATGCCATTTTTACCTACCGTTGAACTTCGGGGATGGTTTATTAAACAAACCACCTATAAGGGATATCCATGGATATCCCACATGACTGCACCATGCAGGTTTCAGTTTTCGCATCAGCCCATGGCGTCCTTTGGATGTGCCACCCAAATGCAACACTGCGTAGTTTCATCCTTGGTCGATGATTTCCAGGGATTAGCACCAGGTAGGCTAGTATAGATGTGGAAAACCTCTGGTTTCACTATGTTTTAATAGGAACATGATCCAACATGGTTTGTTTTTAATATGTATGTTATAGATTATAGATTGTTATAGTGTATCCTAGGATAAATGATGAGTAATGAGTAATGTTTCTTTGTCAACACGTCTGCTCATGCAACACTGGTACTTGATCGACCTACAGAAACACGGACACACCAACCATCATTGGATTGATTTGGTTGGGAATTCTTATCCATAGGATCCATGTATGGTATATATATATGCTAACATTTGGGGTATATTGATGGTAAATGTTACCATATATAGCAGCACCATGGATCCTATGGGTTACAGGAAACCACGGTTGTTTTACCATGACATGTTTCGCGAATAGCTCTGTAGCCATCTGTTGGGTAGCATCCGGGCCCCGCGCGTAGAACCACTGCACATTTTCTCCTGCACGAGGCCATTTTCATGGCCAATCAGCCAGATACCCTGCAAAACATGACAAATTCTTAGCTGGTGAACGTAGATAATCCCATTGATAGCAAAAGACTAGTTAGGATAGTTGGTACCCATCCAAGGTTGACCTAGTTTTTAGCAGTTTTCCAGCTGAATCTCAGATATTCTGCAATAGATTATAACTTTAACGTGGCTAGCAAACTTCCACGCGAATCTGCTATAGTTTATAGTAATTTCAACGTGGGTAGGAATACTCCTAAAAAGATAATACCAACATTAAAACCATTCTAAAATTAACATCACTAAAATCAATATGTAGTCATATATCAACATTAACAATCATATCAGAGATGGCCACGAGAAAACACGGAAATTCTTCAACTGGTAACTAGCCATCAGGAATAGTTAACCATGGTTAAACCAATTGCCCGTGAAATCTCTACCCTTTCCCCCAAACGCAGGCCTTGCCCTCTTTCCAAGTGGTTGTACATGCCACCGTAACCTGAAACCCGGCGAAATTTGGAGATTAAACCAGGTGTTTTCTACGGCTAATAAGAGTGGTTTCATGGGAAAATCATTGACATAAATGGGGATTAACCGTTGAATGAAACATTGATTGCTTCCAACTCATATTGAGTACCCCCTTAGAAATGACACCCTGGTTTGCTATTGGATTTCCGAGTCCCGGAGTCCCAAAAATTGCGGTTGTATTTTTTCGTTTCTTCGGGCGGAGTAGAGAGAACCGTTTACTTTCCTATCCGTTGATCCAGTTATCCAATGCTGATGATCTGGGTAAATTACAATATTTCACTAACCTTAACCTTGCGGCGATTTGGGGATCATTTCCCTGTAAAAACACCATATTTCCAGTGCGGGATGGTGACACCGACCTTTCCAATGGTGACGGCTGATCCATGCTGATCCCTGGATGGCGTTCAACCTTTCCAAAAGATACCTATCTAAGTGTGTGTGGGTCAAATCCATCCAGCCACGCAAAACAGAATTTCAACATGATTAAACCTGGTTATATAAGGTTATACACACATATATTGGCTGGTGGTATACCTACCCCTGTGAAAAATATGAAAGTCAGTTGGGATGATGACATTCCCAACTGAATGGAAAGTCATTAAAGTCCATGGTTCCAGTCACCACCAACCAGTTACTAATCATTCACCATTTTGGACCAGTATTAACCATTAATAATCCCTATAGCCCTATAGCACCATTATATATTATGGGGGTTTGCATAAATGGGCTTTATCTCCAAGAGTTGAATCAGGACAGGGAAGTGCTATCATGTTTTCGTGTGCATGTTTCGTACTGAAGGTTTACATGAGGATTGCATTGGAAACAGCACTAATAATTTGAAGTGGACGCATTCAACTAAGTCGTTTTACGGATTACCCGACAAGAAACTTAAGTTGAAAAGACTTTGAAGGGTTTTTGAAGTGGCATTGCAAGACAAACTAATCCATTTTGGGCCAGGGTAAAAAACCTGGCAGACGCGAACCTTTCGCCAACCTTCAACCTTTCGTGGATTTCTCGCCTAAACTTGAGTGATTTGCTGGGTGTTTCAGTTCCAATACTAAAATTTAAAACCCATTCCTATCTGAGACAAACTCCAAAAAATCTTGTTCAATGCTTGTATGAATGCAACCGTAACTGCCAATCATGAATACTATCACATACATCTGGTATCATCTGGTCATATAGATGTGTTTGGATGTATTTAGATTTTTCGACCTTTCGCAAAACCTTTCCCCGCGCTTCTGCGGCTGAGGTAAAACACACGTCCATATCTGCAGATGTCACTCGGATACTAGAAGTCTTGCATGGGTTTTAGAATAACTCTACAAATGGATGATCTAGGCGTACCCATATTTTAGGAAACCCGCAAATATAAACATAAATATAATATATATATAATATTGTATTGTATTGTATTATATTATATTATATTAGATTTTGTTATATTTATTGTATATAGAGAAAACAATGGTTGTCCAGATTGTGCTATGATTCTGTGGCTATCCATCCAAGCAACCACAGGGCAGAATGTAGCGTGACTGTCGCTTTACCACGCTTTTGCCTCGTCGCACCAAAAGATCGTGGCGACGTGTCCTATGGGGAAGTCCTTGTGGGATGTTCTAGGGGATATACCCTCTGGTAAACTAACTTAACTATGGAACATCACCATGTTGAAAGGGAAAATTCACTATAAATGGCCATGTTCAATAGCTATGTTAAATTACCAGAGGGCAACCAAAGATATAGGGATCCCATATGCTCCATGTATGGTATATTTACCTACATTTGGGTGATTTTGTTCCGGCAAATGTTGGTAAATATTGCATACATGGAGCATATAGGGATATGGATCTATCAGAAAAATCCGGGATCTCCCAAAAAATCTTAAATGGGGGGTTTCCATAAATGGAGAATCCCCAAAAACCGATTGAAATGGATGATTTTGGGGTACCTCTATTTTAGGAAAGAACACCCCAAATGGCAATGAACACAATATGATAAACAATGAAATTTGCTGTCCCACTTTTCGGTCAGCATATGTCAACATTCTCAAACGGTATCAATCAATATCATGAACCACACAACAGTGTCCCTTAAGCGCTTCACTCTGCCCCCGCGGCTGGGCTTGAATTTTCCAGATTTTCGGGCCTTCCACATCCAGCTTCACTTCGTTGATCTGGAAGCAATGATCCTCATCCAAGCCATAGAGAATAGTCAGGTGATCAGATTGGTCCCTGGCCTTCCTGGCCTAGCCAGCTTTAGTTCGCTTCATTCATAATCAATGCGGGATTTTCCAGCCATGCCGCGGATTACCAGAGGCCTAATTGAAACATCTTGAAACCACCAACCAGAACGGGGTGCGGGCGATCACTCTGGGGTCCCAATAATCCAAACAAGATATTCCAAGTGGTACTGGCAACCCGGACTTAAGTTGACCGCGTTGTTGACGATGTTAAGTGATGGCTTGGAACTCATTTAAAGATCCAATCATCACTTTTTGATGTGGAGCAATCTGATTATGATCTTTTATCACTCCAGGGTTGACATTACCCTCCGGTAAACGTTTACATAACTATGGAAAATCACAATGTTTACTATGTAAATCCACTATAAATGGCCATGTTCAATAGCTATGTTAAATTACCAGAGAGTACATATGAACTCCAGTTCGTTAGCTAAGTTGGGGTTCACATAACTCCAATTTTCACGGGAGGGTTTATGGTAGATATACCGAACTTCGGTATTACCGAACTACTTTTCATGGGGTTATTTTTCCACCGTTCACATCACTGGGGGGCACCACCTTGCATTAATTGCTTGGGATCCAATGGGGGATTTGTCCCATTTGGAGGCATCAATGGGGGGTACCCCTATAAAATCATCCATTTATAATCATGTTGAATTATTTATATGGGTATGGATCAATACCTATGAAAATACCATTTTTAGGGGGTTATTCACATCCATAAATCCCAGCTATTTTGATGTGAACTACAGGGGTACAAAGGTTTTGACACACTGCCATATAGATTAGATGGATCTTCAATCTTTTTAACCCTCCAGCTATTGGGATACCCCCCATGACTTAGGACACCTCCAGCTATCTGACAGGGGCCCCAGGGGCCCCATCTCCCAACTTATGGGGTTATGAAATGGCTATACCCTCTGGTAATGACTAACATAGCTATGGAAAATGGCCCAGTTATAGTTGATTTACCTATTAAAAGTAGTGATTGTCAATAGTCATGTTAGTTTACCAGAGGGTAAAATGATTGTAAAATGGTTATACCTTATATAACTCACTATGGTTATAGCCATTAACATAGCCCCAACTGCACCCAAGCAGGAACTTATTTTTACTTTTGAGAACATGTCAACGCAGAACAGGACAAAAAAAGGGCGGCACTGAGACAGCACAAACTCTGAGACGATTGCGCGGGGAATCCCTTTGCCACCCAAGAGGGTTTCATAAACCACAAAGAACATGCCATATCCCATAGGATCCATGGTGCTGCTATATATGGTAACATTTACCATCAATATACCCCCAATGTTAGCATATATACCAGCACCATGGATCCTATGCCATATGGGAGGTTGTTGTCATCGTATGACAAAAAACCACCCAATTCATCGATTTATCTTATGCTTTTGCTTAAATGCTTAAACTACCAACAAATATATAGCATTTCAATAGCGATCTTCCATAGCTCCAAAGGGCCCCGGATACACCAAGGGCGGGCTGTGGAAGTGGAAGTGGGCCATTCCGGCGAGTCCAAGGTGGATGACACAAGGCGGAAAGAGATGTTTTTGTCAAAACATTTCATCATTTCATTGATTCATGATTCATATATGTCATGGAACTAGATTTCAAGTTATTTGTTTTTATATATTGATTGATTCATTTCATTGATATATATGTTATGGAAATATGATGTTCAACTTATTTCATGATATATTTCAAGTAGCATTTCATCATGGAAAATGGGAAAATCCGTGGATTTCAATACCCAGGAAAGACCTCAGTTTTCCATGTTTCTGGACAAGGAACAAGACCAAAGATTGGAGCAAACATGCGAACATGGTCGACTCTTGTCACTCGGGATTAGCGAACAAGACCTTGCAAACAAAGATTTGCCATCCAGGAACCAGCAAAAAAAAACCAAAAACCACCAAAAACCCAACAGAGATTTCCCATTTCTAATAAATTTCCCATTGGGAACATGCCAAACATCATCTTCAACAACTCCAAGAAAAAAAGGAGTGTCAAACCCACCCTGTGAGTTCCTTAACTCCCCGTCCTGCATGCAATCCGCTCCATTGGTGTCGAGGATAAGGCAAGGACACACCCTGGAGAACGTGATTTCCAGTTGCTCCCCAAAGCGCGGCATCAACAGCTGCGGGTCACAGCTAACCACAAACGGTCACTCTTTGTACGTAGATCCTATATGTGCAATTCCTGATTTTGACCCGTACCAAGCTTGCCAAACGGCAACACAGCATGCACCATTGAGGTTTTCCATGCGAGTCCGACCGTTCAAAATCCTCTGGACATCACCTAAGTCCCTGACTCAACAACCTCGCCACGCTTGAAATTTGCATCAGCAAACACACCACGCCCATGCAACTGGGACCTTGGAAGGCGTGCATGGAGTTGAGCTAGGAAACAGACCAGCCAAAGCATGGCCAATCAGGCAGGAAATGAAACTAGGGTTGGATAACATATGATCATTTATAGCAACCGATTAACATATCTAATGTCAAGTTCGTATTAAAAACCCGCCCCCGGAAGGTCTAGATCCACGAGAAGGCTTTCACCCCCAAATAATGACCAGCAAAACCAGAAACGGGATTCATGAGATTTTGTCCTTTTGAATCTAAAGGATAAGTACGGATTTCAATTGAAATCAATTTACTTTCAATTGATTTTCCTTTTAAATCTAAAGGATCAGAAAGGGTTTCAATTGAAATCAATTTAGTTTCAATTGATTTTCCTTTTAAATATAAATTTCACCAACCTAAAGCAAAAGAAAGTAACAAGGACAATGCATCTTTTTTCCAATCAGATTCTTTGGGATTTTCCTAGATTTTGGGGATTCTGTGCCTTGAATCTCTTCAATATATCTACTGTATAGATAATTATGGATATATATATATACACCTGTGTGTGTGTATTGACATAATAACTGTAAAGCATCTCCTTTCATGAACCATTTGTATCTTGCCTCCCTTTGAAGCCAGCACCAGAACCATCAGGTCAGAAACATCAGAAGCAAATTACTTTCTCCACCAAAAAACATTGGATTTTACAGAAGGGTGTTTTCTAATAGGGGGTCCCAGGTGCTTTGTAAATTTGCCCCGAGATCGAGGTCAGAAAGGAAGGCCATGAAGAGGGCCGCCGTTGAATTCACCAAACTGAACAGCTGTTCCCACAATTCCACCCTTCGGCTCAAGCTCTGACCCATCCACAAACTGGAGTGGATAATGTCCCAAGCACAACTTTGTTGGTACCACCGGCTAACTCGAACGTCTCCGTTTCTTGTTCCTCCCTTCGAGTGATCCTTGCCCCGCTGGATTTTCCGCAGCTGCGGTATCCGCCGCCAGCAAAACACGTCCATCCCGGAGAGCAGTTGTCCCAATCGGGTTGATGGCCACTTCACGGCGAACGACTCCCTCAAATCCTGAGCCTACCCCATAGACGGAGTGGGTTTGCAGTTCCAATCTACTGTTCGAATCCTTCAATGATACTGCCCTTGAAAAACGGACTGTAAACGGAATATCATGTCCACCAAGAGACTGCCCTGCAATGATAATCACACCATTCGCCATTCGCGTAGGAAATGCGGCGCGCGCGACAACGTTCCCCATTTCTGCTCCGACAGCATACCCCGTCGTCGCCAACTGCCCAAGGTTTATCGCCCCATACCAGGATGGATGGTGAACAACACTTCCGAAGCTGGGGGTGGTTTCAACCCCTCTGAAAAGTATTTGTCAGTTGGGATGATTATTTCCAATATATGGAAAAATGTTCCAAACCACCAGCCAGTTGGAAAAAAATACCCATCATATCTCCTCGGAATCCTCCGTAAAACTCGATTTCGGGTTTGTGAACCCCCATCAATTCCCACGATTCTATACCCATTATATCACCACTAGATCCTTGTTACATCACCATATTCTGATGCTTAAAACCTCTATAATTTCCCAAGTTGTGGATATATCACCATTGTAGCCCCATGTGTGGGTGGTGATATACCATTCATCCATTAATAACCCTTCGTATTCATCATCACTCTGGTAACATATATCACCTATTAACATATATATATATATGAACCGTTATTAACCATTATATTAATCATCAACATATTACATTAACCCATGAACACATTCACATCACATCCATATATATATTCACATCCCATTTAATTATCAACACATTGTATTAATACCATATATATGTATATACATATATATATATGTATATGCACATTCACATCCCCACTCCGCATCTGAGACCTCCGACTTTCCAAACTTCACAGAGCCCGGGATGGGTCGCACCTTGCGTGGCCCACAAGGTGCCACAAGTGCCTGGGATCGGCCATAGGGAGAATTGGGAGATGTAAAAAGGGAAAACTAGATAAATCATCTCTGGTTGGTGGTTTTATCCATCTTGAAAAATATGAAAGTCAGTTGGGATGATTATTCCATATATTATGGAAAATAACACATGTCCCAAACCACCAACCAGATCTATAAAATCTATAATATAAGATAAATATAGAAACTATAATTGGGATTCTACAATAAATAACAGTATATATATATATATAGAGTATACATAGGGATATACTAGTATATCTATATATCATGATAGATAAATATACATGAGATATAAGATCTATAAAATCTATCATATAAGATCTATAATATGATAGAATCTACAATAAATAGCAGTATATATATATGTAAATAATAGTATAAGATCACAATATAAGATCTACAATGTAAAATGATATCTACAATAGATACCTATAATGTATATAATGATATTAGTTAACAGTTGAGAATTGGATACAATGACATATTATTTCTCTCTAAATATCTATAATTGGATAATATAATAATATCATATCTACAATGTTTAAACACTATTTTGTACTATAACTGGGACATAATAAGTATAATTAGGATACGATTTAAATATAATGTACTGGTTGAGAATTGGTTATATATATATAATGATACAATATGATATACATTCCCAAGTAGATTATCTACCACGAAAAAAATATTCCCTATAGATTCCCCAAGTAGTGGATTTCCCATGGAGAAAAAACATCTTCAACAACTCCAAGACAATGAGGTATGTGTGGGATACAAATATATGTCCATTCCAATATATATATATATGTATAGGGATATTATAATGATAATCAATAGGATACATAGTGGAATGGAAATATAGTTTGGATACAATCCCTATACATATCATATCTAAGATATCTACGATTGGAATATTGATTTTGGATTGGTTATTGGAATGTTTGTATATATTTAAATGGATAGTTCTCAAAACAGCCAAATGTAATGCTAGTAAAGCAATGCCATAAACCACTCATATGGATTGATCGTTTCAATCCCACCCATAAAACTGGTAAATTTGGGGTGGATCCCCTTGCTTTAATCCTGTAAATCTGGTTGGTGGTTTCAACCTACCCCTCTGAAAAATATGAGTCAGTTGGGATGATGACATTCTGAATGGGAAAATAAAACATGTTTGAAACCGCCAACCAGCTTTATGGTAAACCAACTATTAATGTTACCAATTGATGTTGCCAACTAATAGTGATTTAAAAACCAACATGAAGAGTTTCATAGGTAAATCAACGATTTCTATGGGCCATGGCTTCTATAGCTTTGTTAAATTACCAAATGGTAAATTTGGGGATGGTTTGCCATGGCTTTACTAACATGAATCCTTGATAGTAGTCAGATGTGGCTGGCAAATCCCATCGAAATTAGGAGGTTTCGTTCGCGAAAATCCTCGAACTAGATGATCGATTTTCCAGCAAGAAACGTTTGATTACGAGGGTATATATATATATATCATATGAATAATTTCTATGTATATGTTTGCATTTTGGATTTGATGTGGTTTGTGGTAACCCCCCCCCCATGGATAGATGTTGGTAAAAACCAATCTGAAACAGTGGTACGTTGAAGCATCTGTTTTGCGGGTTACGGAATGGGGTAAATCATTGAAATTTCAAAATGAAGATACAAACCTCCGTTGGAGTTTATTTTTGGGTCTACAACATGATAAGGATCAAATTGCTATCCTGTTGGTGTAACTAACAGCCTTGCACTCATGGATATGAATGGTATTGGTCAACCCCAAAAAACCTGTGTACAGATATGCATGGACAATATTTCACTTCAAACTGTTGTGTTTCCAGTGTTGTTAATTTCAAGAAATGTATGTGCAATGCACACGTTATTGGCATCATCCATTATACTGGCTGGTTATCGGGGTTCCCATAACAAGGTAGAATCATCGCCATATCTATAGTCTCCAAAAGATAGAACAGTAATTCGCCATTCTTTAGTACGATTCGATATTTTCCTATCTCTTGTGGGCTGGCCGACAAATTGTGGACACTGCTCGACCGCTACCAGCAGTTTCCCGTGGGACAGCACCACAACGGGGGTGAGCTGAGCCTTTCGAAAGGCATCTGGCTGCTCTTGCCGGCACCTCCAAAGCATGACACGACGTCACGCAATGTGGTGATTGAGACCTTTCTTACTGTAAGTTCTAGGGCTTATGTGCGGGCCCCACTTAAAGACTTAGGATCCGTGGTTTAAAATCCATGTTCATAACCCCAATAAGCCCATGAGTAGGGATATTCCATATAATTATTGGGGGACGCCATTTACAGTGGGGAAAATCATCCCCAGGCACTGAGATGATGGGAGCTGCAGGTTCCTGATCGACTTCCATCTCCCATCTCAGTGCAACCAGGTTTTCTTCATGGTGGAAACTAGACAGAGCCTACCACCTTTGATGGATGTCTTCTGAATGCAACTTTTAATAACTCCAGGAACGTTCGGATGTCAGCATCTCTCATGCTTTCGTGGCTTCATCCCTTCAGGAATGATAATTGATCAATGGCCATGCAAGGAACCGATTGATTGGAGGTACCTACCATATATAAGGCCTATGTTTTAGGCCTATGTTTCAGGGAATATCCAACAAGCTTCATAATCTTCTCTCAATAGAATGCCTCTCTCAAGCTTCATAATCTTGTTGCCAGTCAAGGATATCCTGTACATATCCAACTCATCTTCATCTGCGTTTTCTTCAGAAAAAGGCGCGAGAGGTTAAACCTTTGAACAAATCATTCTGAAGAAAAGGAATTGAGACACTCTTACAAACATCATCTTGCGCCAACCGTCTGGTAAACTAACATAGCTATATGATGGACATTTCACCACTTTTACCTATCTTTACCTATTAAAAATAGTGATGTTCCATAGTCATGTTAGTTTAGCAAAGAATATCGCAAGTCAGCTGCAACATCCGCCAACCCTCTGGGAGGAGGACATCGAGTTGCTAGACGAGTTTCCCATTCACCTTATGATTATGCTATGATGACAACAAGACTTTGTAGACACAAAGTGTGTTTTTCACTTTATATCCCAATAAAAATCACCAATTATATCTCTATAATTCCCTATTCTTGTTGGTTAAACCGAGTTCAACCTCCATAAAAAAAAAGAAATCCACTGAATCTTTGGGCCCTCCGGTTTCTGGTGGAAGCGGCGCACCAGTATGGCGTGAAGCCCTCGAAATTGATGGCTTCACCCTGGCTGCATCGAGTATCACATGGTGAATCTTCGATACCATTGATGAAAGCTGATGGAAATATGGTAATCATATGGTAATCACATGGTAATCACATGGCAAATCATGAAACATATTTTTAAGCGCTGGTACATTTCACCATTGAAATCGCAAGAGATTTTTCAGATGATTATAGTACTAGTTCGTATCTAACCAATCGCTTGACCCAGATCATTATTCCATCAAAAAGGCCAATTTTTTTGGGGGGGACACACCAGTTTGAGATCACTAAAACTCACGAAACATGTGATAAAAATCGTCCAATGAGCTGAAGAAACTCCGGGACTGGAACTGCATGGGCATGGTGGCAACTTACCAGATCAGGTCAGCATCCATTTGTCCAAAGGCCCGGGATGGAAGTTGCGAGGGAAGCCAAACACCTTTGACAGTACATCTAGCGATAAACCAGAAAAACCCGATATGAACACATTGTCTGGTTCTTTTTCTTACCTAGGCTAAAGAACTTTAAAAAAGAAACATGTAATAAACTTCCCAATTTTGAGTGGATTGCCAGGAACAAACCAGTCAACCTGAGCCCGAGCCCCGGCCCTTCGCCATTGGGACAGGTCCCCGGGTCAGGTCAGAAAAATTGGGCACCTCTTCCGTGCGAAAGTTCCGCTTGTACCTCAAGATTTTGAGCTTGGACCTGCAAGGTGGTGCCCCATAGTTAGCTAAGTTGGTGCAAATAACTCCCATAACTATGGTTTATGGCAGATATAACTATAGTTAATGGGGTTTATAAACCAACTTATAACTGGGGGGCACCATCCTGTGGTGTTCAATGGGAGCAAATAGCAAGAAAGATCGGCACCAATTCTTTAACAGAAAAACTATACAGTTATACAGCTGAGACCCTTTTATGGCTGGAGCCACAAGAGGATTCTTCACCAATGGAGATTCAAATAAGTTTCAATAGAAATATAGATTAATGTGGGTAAAACAACAATAACCATTCCCAATTTCACCATAAATGGGTGGTATGTCTACCATTCCCAAATGGGTGATTTATGGCATTGTTTTAAGCACATTACTGTAGATATGAAGATCACATGGCTATCAATGTAGAACTTCAGCCGGCTTGTGTCATTTTGTCGGCGAGCCATAGCGAGATCATCGATTGGAACGCGAAAATAATTTTATGGAGGACACATGATCATCACTGGTTGGTGGTTGAGCCCTACCCCTCTGAAAAATATGAGCTCGTCAGTTGGGATGATGACATTCCCAATATGTGGAAAAAACAATGTTCCAAACCACCAATCAGTTATCTATATTTTATCTATAGCATCTTGGAAATATGTTACTTTTTGTAGGGGTTGCGAAAAACTCAATGGATCTGAATAGGAATGAGATACATACTCTTGGATCATGGAACCCACATCCAAAATCTTCAAGAAGCAACATCAATGATCCTCCTGGTATTTTTTTTGATTCTTCGACCTTCTGGACGCAGCTTGTTATCGATGTCATGAAGCGAGAATTCATTGAGGGTGTTCCCTCTATTACCCTCGAAATATTTAGCAGTTTGCTATGGAAAATGGCACAGTTTTAGTCGATTTACCTATTGAAAGTGGTGATTTTCAATAGTTATGTTACCCTCCGCTGAACCAACATAGCTATTGAAAATGGCCATTTATAGTCGATTTACCCATTAAAAAAAGTGATTTCCCATAGTTGTGTAAACGTTTACCAGAGTGTATTTACCGTTTCATGGCCATTTTGGTATCGAAAATCCCCTTCCAAGCATGGCATTTTATGGGATCCCATTTTCGAATCTTCAAAAATCGAAAGTTGGGGAAACACCAAGAAAAAAATTCAATCATTTAAGTCATCAAGACTTTCTGATCTTCAATCTATCTCATCTAGTTAGTTGGGTTCATTATAAATTCTATCCCATTAATATCCGTCAATATTCCTAATCCCATTATATCCACCATACTTAGCCTCATCTTTAACCAGCGAATTTGTGCACCTAGTTTGAGATATTATGGGATGTAATTGGAGATAATGCGATATATTGGAATTGATATGGATATGATATCATGGAAAGACGTATTATATATATATATTACCGATGGATCACATAAAAATATCCTGAAGAATGACATTTGGATAATGGGATACGGATAGATATCGTACTCTAATAGGATAACCAGCAAAATGATATGGCTCCAGCTGTTTTCAGCAGCCGATTTCAAGATCTTTCCAGCCCCAATGCCCCGCCGTGGAAACGGCCCAGTAGCTCCAGTATCAGTTCTTCATCGGCCTTGGCGAAAAGCCAAAAACATTGGCCGATTGGTATAGATCATACTTGGTGGCAAACTACCCGCGAATCCTAAGTAGGTTATATATATATATATGTATACGTATAAGTAGGGGTTTGTGGGATAAGTAGGGTTAATCCACTGAAATAACGAAGCTGAACTAGCCTACTTACTAAGTGGGATGAGCCACCACGTAGTATACAAAGCATATGTGCATATATATATATATGTATATCATATATTGCAAGTATACATTAATACAATACTATACAAAAGCTATTGGTATAAGGTATATACATTTGTACCACTGACCAATGTTGTGTGCATGGTCCGGTTTAGAAGAATGGAATAGTCCATAATCAGTATACCAAACGGACCAATATTATACCAATGCAGACATGCACACCTAAACCAAACTGCATGGCTAGAAGAATATAGAAGAATAGAGGGGCCGGTTGGTACACTATCTATTCTCATCCACCCATTGTGTGTTGAATGAGAGAACCATTTCTTTATCAACCAACCAGTGGAAAAAAGACGTCTATGACAGGCTGTTGATTGTCTAAGATGCCTATGGGCCAAGACCATCCAAGTCCCATGAAAATCATGATAAATCATGGAATGCGCCTGGTTTTTTACATCAAAACAGCTGGGATTTATGCATTGCCAATCTTAGATACCCTGCAAAAAAATAAATTCTTTGCTGGTTAGTAGATATTCCCATTGATACCAAAAGACGAAAGGATTAAAGTATCCATGTAAGATTGACCTAGAAAACAGCTGGGATTTATGGATGTTCATCCGCATTCAGATGGGTCTTCAAAAAGCTGTGAATCCATAGCCGGGCTGTGGATCTCCAAAAACTGAATCTCTGGGGGTTGATCGGAGGTCAACTTAAAAGCCATGGAGAAGTGACTAGCCAAGCCAAGCATAACTACACCAAGTGGACTTATGGACTTATGATCTAGTTATTTCTAGTTTGACGCTCTAATTTGTCTATGAACCCTTGGGTAAAGTGGTTGTAAACCATCAGCAACCCATCTGTCGTAGGGAAACTTCGTATGAACCAGGAGAATTGGGTAGATTAACAATCCCCATAGCAATCCACCAACAAAGGTATACCCTGGGCACTGCCCAGGCCAGATACCCATCCGTCCCCAGGCCTGAATTCTTCTCGTGGCATAGATGTACATGTGACTCAGATGGGCGCTGGGTTCCATGACATCAAACAGTAGGAATTGATTCACTGGCTGCGATGGCCCACCCCAAATGTGATCTTTTCAGGAACATAGTGTAAAACCTGCAGGAAATGATGCGTTTACCATGCAGATGAAGAAGTGTCCTGCAACATTTCCATGAAATGATCCACTGAGTTTATAACTCCTGCAGTTTTAGCTGGAAATTTAGCTGGCACCGTGTTATGTTTTGTCAGCATCATGCCAAAATGGGTGTTGTCACCCAAAGGAACAAGGGTTTCGTACATGGCTCAAACTTTACCCAGCCAAAGTGGGATAATTCGCTGCTAAAACACAGCTCTTGAACGTTTGACCCAAAAATGGCCACTGCCATTACCATGCTGAATCTTAGGTACTTGGCAAAAAACTCATTTTTCGCTGGCCTGCTTATTAGCTGGTAATGTCAACCCCGGAAGAGACTAAACCATGGTTTATGACAATTAGGGGGGTATTCCCCCAGTCATGATTTGATATTTTTTTATGGTACCTTCCCAATTAGTCACAGCCGTAAACGGGGTTTATTAATCCAGGGTTTACATTACATATTTTACCATTGAACATCGCTTGCGAGACTAAAGTAAGAGTTGGTATCTCCACATAAGCCCGGTTGGTGAAACTCCCTGCTGACTCCATCATGGCTGGTTCGTTGATTTTTCCCATGTATAAACCTTTTGGTTGATGTATCTACCCTCTGGTAATTTAACATAGCTGTTGAAAATGACCATAGAAATAATTAGTTGATTTACCCATTAAAAATTGTGGATCTTTCCATAGTTTTTATTAAACGTTTACCAGAGGGTAACCAGTTGGACCCAGCATTCTTGGGCCAAGACTTCCCGACGGGGATGAATTTGCAGTTGAAATTCGTGACGGGCGTCCAATTGATCTGAACCTCTTCAGCCGGAGTGGTGGCGGTTCAAAGACGAGTCGTCAAGTTGGTGAAGAGTTGAAACCTTTGGTGACTTCTATGGTTGAATGTTGATGTGTAATTATTCTAAATATACTTATATAATGCTGGTTGGTGGTTTTAACCATCTTGAAAAATATGAAAGTCAGTTGGGATGATTCTTCCCATATCCGCCGACCCCGGCTGCGCAAGGGGGAGCGCGTTAGGGAATAAGACGGCAGCACCCAGCCAGTAGCCAGCAGTCAATATCCGCCGACCCCGGCAGACGCAAGGGGGAGCGTGCCAGGGAATAATACTTTTGACTCTTGTTTCGGACTACTACTACTACTACTACTACTACTGCCATGGTGTTTTCCCATCCGGCAGGTGCCTTTTGAACAGAAGGAGTCACAGGAGCAGGAGCAGCAGCAGCAGCAGGAGGAAATAGAAGGTGTTTGACAAGACGGTTATCATCACAAAGGCAATTCTTTTTTTTCTAGGATTTCAGAAGGGACGTTAGGCACTTTTTGGGCTCGATTTTGGAGCGTTTTTGGGCACGAAATTAGGTGGCGTTTCAGCGTTTCAAGTGGTGGCCATGAGCAGCAGCAGCAACAGGAGCAACAGGAGGGTTCTATGTCTCATTGCACAAACAGTGGTATAAACATTGGTCGAAAACTATAAACATTGGTATATTATTGTGATTGATTTTGCGTCATGTTCGGCACGAAATTAGGTGTCTGGCTGCTGGTTTCTTACTTTATTAGAGGCAGTAGCAGCAATCAAAATTAGAGATCAAATTGGACAAAATTAGATTTCTATTGGACAAAGTTGGATTTCTAGTAGGATTTCAGAAGGGACGTTTCGGCCCCCGACAACCTATTCTTGTGATTGATTTTGCGTCATGTTCGGCAGGAAATTAGGTGGTGTTTTGCTGTTTCGGCTGTGTTTTAAAAAAGGTGTCTGGCTGCTGGTTTCTTGCTTTATTATAGGCAGCAGCAGCAGTCAAAATTAGAGATCAAAATTGGATAAAATTGGATTTCTAGTAGGAGTTCAGAAGGGACGTTTCGGCCCCCGAAAACCTAATATTGTGATTGATTTTCCGTCATGTTCGGCACGAAATTCGGTGGTGTTTCGCTGTTTCGGCTGTGTTTTAAAAAAGGTGTCTGGCTGCTGGTTTCTTGCTTTATTAGAGGTAGCAGCAGCAGTCAAAATTAGCGATCAATCAAATTTGACTAAAATTAGATTTCTATTGGACAAAATTGGATTTCTAGTAGGATTTCAGAAGGGACGTTTCGGCCCCCGAAAACCTACCTATTATTGTGATTGATTTTGCGTTATGTTCGGCACGAAATTAGGTGGTGTTTTGCTGTTTCGGTTGTGTTTTACAAAAGGTGTCTGGCTGCTGGTTTCTTGCTTTATTATAGGTAGCAGCAGCAGTCAAAATTAGAGATCAAAATTGGACAATTGGACAAAATTGGATTTCTAGTAGGATTTCAGAAGGGACGTTTCGGCCCCCGAAAACTTAATATTGTGATTGATTTTCCGTCATGTTCGGCACGAAATTGGGTGGTGTTTTGCTGTTTCGGCTGTGTTTAAAAAAAGGTGTCTGGCTGCTGGTTTCTCGCTTTATTAGAGGCAGCAGCAGCAATCAAAATTAGAGATCAAATTTGATTAAAATTAGATTTCTATTGGACAAAATTTGATTTCTAGTAGGAGTTCAGAAGGGACGTTTCGGCCCCCGAAAACCTATTATTGTGATTGATTTTGCGTTATGTTCGTCACGAAATTAGGTGGTGTTTTGCTGTTTCGGCTGTGTTTTAAAAAAGGTGTCTGGCTGCTGGTTTCTTGCTTTATTATAGGTAGCAGCAGCAGTCAAAATTAGAGATCAAAATTGGACAAACTTGGATTTCTAGTAGGATTTCAGAAGGGACGTTTCGGCCCCCGAAAACTTAATATTGTGATTGATTTTCCGTCATGTTCGGCACGAAATTGGGTGGTGTTTTGCTGTTTCGGCTGTGTTTTAAAAAAGGTGTCTGGCTGCTGGTTTCACGCTTTATTAGAGGCAGCAGCAGCAATCAAAATTAGAGATCAAATTTGATTAAAATTAGATTTCTATTGGACAAAATTGGATTTCTAGTAGGAGTTCAGAAGGGACGTTTCGGCCCCCGAAAACCTAATATTGTGATTGATTTTCCGTCATGTTCGGCACGAAATTGGGTGGTGTTTTGCTGTTTCGGCTGTGTTTTAAAAAAGGTGTCTGGCTGCTGGTTTCTTGTTTTATTAGAGGCAGCAGCAGCAATCAAAATTAGAGATCAATCAAATTTGACTAAAATTAGATTTCTATTGGACAAAATTGGATTTCTAGTAGGATTTCAGAAGGGACGTTTCGGCCCCCGAAAACCTATTATTGTGATTGATTTGGCGTTATGTTCGGCACGACATTAGGTGGTGTTTTGCTGTTTCGGCTGTGTTTTACAAAAGGTGTCTGGCTGCTGGTTTCTTGCTTTATTATAGGTAGCAGCAGCAGTCAAAATTAGAGATCAAAATTGGACAAAATTGGATTCTAGTAGGATTTCAGAAGGGACGTTTCGGCCTTCGAAAACTTAATATTGTGATTGATTTTCCGTCATGTTCGGCACGAAATTGGGTGGTGTTTTGCTGTTTCGGCTGTGTTTTAAAAAAGGTGTCTGGCTGCTGGTTTCTCGCTTTATTAGACGCAACAGCAGCAACAAACAGTGGTATAAACATTGGTCGAAAACTATAAACATTGGTATATTATTGTGATTGATTTTGCGTCATGTTCGGCACGAAATTAGGTGTCTGGCTGCTGGTTTCTTACTTTATTAGAGGCAGTAGCAGCAATCAAAATTAGAGATCAAATTGGACAAAATTAGATTTCTATTGGACAAAGTTGGATTTCTAGTAGGATTTCAGAAGGGACGTTTCGGCCCCCGAAAACCTATTCTTGTGATTGATTTTGCGTCATGTTCGGCAGGAAATTAGGTGGTGTTTTGCTGTTTCGGCTGTGTTTTAAAAAGGTGTCTGGCTGCTGGTTTCTTGCTTTATTATAGGCAGCAGCAGCAGTCAAAATTAGAGATCAAAATTGGACAAAATTGGATTTCTAGTAGGAGTTCAGAAGGGACGTTTCGGCCCCCGAAAACCTAATATTGTGATTGATTTTCCGTCATGTTCGGCACGAAATTGGGTGGTGTTTTGCTGTTTCGGCTGTGTTTTAAAAAGGGTGTCTGGCTGCTGGTTTCTTGCTTTATTAGAGGTGGCAGCAGCAATCAAAATTAGCGATCAATCAAATTTGACTAAAATTAGATTTCTATTGGACAAAATTGGATTTCTAGTAGGATTTCAGAAGGGACGTTTCGGCTCCCGAAAACCTATTATTGTGATTGATTTTGCGTTATGTTCGGCACGAAATTAGGTGGTGTTTTGCTGTTTCGGCTGTGTTTTAAAAAAGGTGTCTGGCTGCTGGTTTCTTGCTTTATTAGAGGTAGCAGCAGCAATCAAAATTAGCGATCAATCAAATTTGACTAAAATTAGATTTCTATTGGACAAAATTTGATTTCTAGTAGGATTTCAGAAGGGACGTTTCGGCCCCCGAAAGCCTATTATTGTGATTGATTTTGCGTTATGTTCGTCACGAAATTAGGTGGTGTTTTGCTGTTTCGGCTGTGTTTTAAAAAAGGTGTCTGGCTGCTGGTTTCTTGCTTGTGATAATGCATTTGCCAAAGTTTCTCGTCACACAGCTTGCCTGTTTCACCAGCAATCCCCGATTCTTTACCGGGGTCGGCGGCAGGGGCGGCAGCCCTTAAATATATATATTGGGGAAAAACACATTAGGAATATAATTGGAATGATCTCCCAACTTTGAAGTTCCACCTGGTGGTGTTCAACATGTTTTAACCCCCAAAGTTATGCCAGTGACTTGGGATCATCCTGGCGACATCATGCGACATGCCTCCGAAAATGTTGGATCGGCAGTCCAGGAGTTAGCCGCAGTTAGCCAAAAAAATGCGATATGAATACTCAGTTATTAAATGTTACTAGGGTTTTCTGGATACACTATGATACACTCAGTTATTCAATGTCCTTTAAGTTTTGAATGTGCCCAGACATACCGGCCATGCTGCGCTTCATGAGATGCCAACTCGAACCCCGAGGCGCCTGTCGGTTCAACAGTACTCTGGAGGCAATGCAGCTCAAAACCACAGCACTGCGGCGGTTGATGTTTTTGCACTCAATATCCACGGCCTGGGCTGAAAGGGTCACTTGGTCAACTTCGGCAAGAAGTGGTTGGTGGTGTCAAACCGTTTCAAACCAGCCGAAAGGATATGAGATAGTGATTGGGAACGATCATCCCGAATATGCTTTGAAAGAACAAGTACCAGTATTTGAAACAGCTGCCTGATAAAGCCATTCACCAGTCACCAAGGTTTACCATGGTTTACCTTTTGTGGATGAATGGTTAGGATGAAGTGCAAAAATTGTTGGCACCGCGAGGACATGGGATGTGGATCCAAAGAGGGCTTCGTCTCTGAAGGACATGACGAACTACGTCGTCAGTCCCTTATCACTCGGATTGAATATATGTATATAATAATATATATATACATACATATTATATATTGTATAATTATATATTTATATTTATATTTATATTTATATATGATATCAGTGTATGTGAATGCTCAGCTTTTCTGACCCTACTAGCCCTACCGTCCGCTGGCATGGCCTTCTTGAAAGCATCCAGGTTTTGAGGCGAGCTTGCGCACAGCCCGCAGGCGCTGCAAATTGCCATATACCTGGCTGGATCTCCCAGTGAAAACAGCTGGAAGCACGACATTTTGAACAGGTGTAAATCTCTGGCAGGCTATTGTAGAGACAAGATGAGACAAGATGTGTGTGTGTGTGTATGTGTCAACCTTGTATTATATGATTGATTGTTTATATATATATATGACATCAAAACAACTAATCTCGCAACCGTCCATGTTGTTGTCCATCATGTCGTTGATTGACTTAAACAGTCGCATCACTCCCAGTTCCAACCCGCTGCGCCACAGAGCATGGTGTAGTGACTTCACTCTGAATGAAAGCATGTTCAAAGGGCGACAGCGAAACCTTTTGACTCACAAGATAAACATATACATACATTAGCAACTGGCGACAGTCGGAACTTCTGATCGTTACATCGTTGGCGACCCAACGTCATGCTGGGAAATACCAGAGTCAAGCTTTGCAGAGTTGTTGGCAACTTCATAAGCTCCGAGCTCCGGAAAACCAATTCACCAAGGGTCAAGCGCTTGGCAAGATCATAGGTTGCAGCCCCTGTTCATATCACCCATTGGATGTCAGGCTTTGAAGGCCAGTGGGCAATCTCACACTCTCCAAACCCTGCCGAAACCAGGCGCCAAAAGTCAAGTTTCTGAGGCAAGACCACTTGCTCCAAGATCTGATTAAAGTCATCACCAAGTATCAAACTTTCAAGATGGCTTGGTCAAAAAAAAACGCTCCAAGCTCTGGTTGAATAACTCGCCAAAAGCCAATGTCTTTAGGCCGGTCACCCCGTCCATGCTCCGGTTGAACAGAACACCGAAACCCAGGCTTTTAAGACTGTTCGGCAATATTACTCGCTCCAACCTCTGATTAAACATATGGCCAAAAGCCAAGGTTTTCAGAGTTTCCGGGCGGGGCAAAGAAACCTTTTCCAGGCTCCAAGTGAAGTCTTCACCAAATGTCACGTGTTGCAACTTGTTTGGCAAGGTCACGTACTTCAAGCTCTGGTTAACAGCAGACTTACAATCTACATGATGACGAAGCACCACCATGCAGCACGTAAGTTTGCGGACATGTAAGTACAGGATAAGGTTGCCCTTTCATTGGCGATGCCTTGCTCTTGCAAATTGCAAGGTTTGGGAGAGCACCAGCGTTGAACCGCCATGAGGCAGGACAAGCTTTGCCGCTTAGATTCTAGCTGCGAAAGCATCTATCGAACCTCCCATCCCAGCGTAAAGTGGGAGACCCTCAATCGCAATTCCTTTCCAGTCAAGCACAACACTTAAAGATCAAAGAAGTCTGGGCCCTTCAGATCCAACCCTTCCAACGGCCATTTATATCTGGGATCAGGGGGGCCTGATCCAGCCCATCTAGCTCAGTGGGCATCCACCTGGCTCAGGTGATGTTGAATATAATTCTGATATGAATATCCCTATTTCATTGGATTGTCTAAATTGGTCAAAGACATATATATATATAATACACATATAATCATCATTGATTCCCATGTCTGTGGATAAAAATCACATCATTTAATGCTCTTCACATCCTGATCGATCCACAAAGGCCCAGGGCCCCAGGGCCCCAGGGCGCCCAGGGCGCCTTTCCAAAGACCTATCGCTTGGGATCAATCTTACCTCGGAGAGAGATGTTTAAAGCTATTCATGGGGTATATATAAGTGATCTAAGCATATCAGTGGTTATTATAGCCCTTGTTTTAAAAAAAAAAGTATATCTATAGATATACTATCACAATTATGAATCAGGGGTATAACCATGGTAATAACTATCATATGGTATCATTACATTACAGGTAATAACTATCATTAAAGCTATTGATCTGGCGAAATTTCACTAATTCACCAACCTGAAATAGGTCTTTGGGGATGATTTCCCGACATCTCCAGGGCCACCTGGATCCCATCGAAATGCCATGAGTCTCTAGCTGATAATAGTTGGTACCCTCCAGTTCACTAACATAGCTATGGATGGCCCATAGAAATAGATGAATTACTTCTTAAAATGGTGATTTTCCATAGCAGACTGTTAGTTTACCAGAGGGTACATCCATCTAAACTCGTCTTGGCCAGCAAATTTCTTAAATTCCACCAACTGGTGCTCAAAACGACGGACCTGTTGAATCGCTAGCAACCATCGGAGAGCAAA